TATTGAACACTCACACTGAAATACCCCCAACTTTGATCAAGGACACGGAACAGATTTGTTGACCAAAAGAAAAAAGGATCAAGAGAGCGCAAGATCCAAGCCTAACTTGGATGAGTTGGAGGGACAGTCAGGTTTTCTCCTAAGCTCCTTAAAGACTCTTCTCTCTGACCCCTTTGATCAAAGCGTTGTGCGTAAAAATGCGTGTTGCAGTGTGTGTGTGTGAGAGAGAGAGAAAGAGAGAGGGGGAGAGTGCAGCTGTGACATGAACCTGGATGCACTATTTAATTTATAAAAAATATGTTTAATACTAGTTAGAAGAGACAATCAGTCGTTTGCGTGTCCTTATAAATGTCCCTTATGTGTTTTGAATTATTATTTCACCCCTGTTAGTTTTTTTAATTGTGAGTCTTTGTACTACCTGTATGCAATTCTTTGCTTTATGCAATAGGCTACATGCACCACAAACCCAGCTGTAAATTCAATAGATTTATTGCCATGTCTCGTGTGTTAAGTGATAAATTATTATAACAACATATAAGTTGAGTGAAATGGGAATGCAGGGTAAATGAGCCAGCAGCAAGCAGGGCCCGTTTGAGCTGTAGAGAGCGGTGAGAAGGCCACAAACACACAAAATAATAATAAAGACCACTTGACCTGACCCGGCTCTGTGGCTCTATATGTGAATCCATCTAAGTCAATTGTGTTTGTTGCGGTATTTATCTGCTGTTTGTGTACACAACACACCAACGAGCCCATTTCACATTTATTTATATTGTTATCTTCCATTCATTATCTATACCACTGGGGGTTGGAATCTATCCTGACATGATGAGAAGCAGGGTCCACCCTGGACAGGTTGCCAGTCTATCACGGGGCTGACATGTAGACAAACAACCACACACATTCACTCCTAGGGGTAATTTAGAGTCACCAGTCAACCTAAGCTGTCGGAATACACAGAGAGAACCCACGCAAACACAGGGAGAACATGCACAGAAAGGCATCGGGTTGGCTGGGACTCAAACCTGGGACCTTTTTGCTGTGAGACGACAGCACTAACCATTGTACCGCTGTGCTGCCCATATCTTCTTAACCCAAAATAAAAGTTGATGCTTTGCATGAAAAGTTTAATTCACTTTAACACTAAAATGTGACATTTTCTCTACTTTAGTACCACATCACTGCCTGTAAGTTGATGACTTCTGTCACAACTACCCTGGCCAGCAGGAATGTGAATTCTGGGATAGCTATGTTAATCCCACCTCATAAAGAGGATAATCCAACATTTGTACTGACGGCTGCTCTTTGGTTGAGGGGCACACCGCTGGCCAGTTCACATGGAGAAATGTGAAATGAGCTCTGCTGCTGAAAGTCCAGGGGCAAACACGAGTTGAAAAACATGTTACACACAAAAGAAAACTGGAAAGACGCTAAGACTTCACACAAAATCTGTTGAGGAACATAATGTTGTGTGATCATCTAGGCCATTAATGGGAAAAAGTACTGTTTTCAGAAAACCATTAACAAGTGGTTATTCTTAAAAAGCCCATTGCATGTTCATTTTGCTAGTTTCAGGAAAGCAGTCTCTTTCAGGTTAATAGAAGGAGGGAGCCTGAGCAGGTCCAGGGCCCAAGAAAGGCTGGTTAGGAGGTGACAGGAGAGCTCAAGAGGCTTCTTCTAACTCTGGTGTGACTTCTTAGGGCAGAGACACGCCAAGCCAATGTGAAAGAACTAGCAACGACCATGGCCAACCTCTGTGTCACCTCATATCGGCTTTGTCCGGGCCAGCCGGTTTGAAAAAGTAACACTTGAACACATTCCACAGACTACAGCCATGGCTGACTAGCATGTACGTTCTGCGCCTGCATGACAGAAATAACTGCCCCACCAGCAGGTGGATGTATCGGTATTCACCATTCATAAAGAAGAAGAGCTAGATTGGAAGTACAGTATAGGGTAAAACTGTTCAGAACAGCTGCTGATAAGAAGTTACAAATATGTTTTAATTTGTTAAACTGATCAAAAGATCTGAAGTTAACACAAATTAGTTGGATTATTAGATTCATTTAGACAAATAAATATGTAAAAAAAACATTCAAAACAAAACAATAAAACTTCTGGAAAACTGAAGAACGAATAAAGCAAAAACAGGCCTCATTAATAATCTGAGCAGTAGGTTGTCGATTTACATTTACTGGATCACTGTCAAATCTATGTGCATATAAAGATTTGATCTTTTAGGCAACATTTTATCTGTGGCAGGTTTTGGGATTTAAAAAAAATCCACAATCTATTGAGCCTATTAAAAATTCAGTCCAAGCTCTGTGCAGAGTTTTGTAGGCTATTTTTGTAGGCCACTGTATAACTTTCTTCCTCACAGGTCATATTCTCAGTGTCAGCAGGTTCAATAATAATACTTGTCAACAGAAAGCAGTAAGTCAGTGTTCCTGCAGCAGGAGGACCAGTGGCCTATGAGTGTCCTTTCAGTTTTAATTAAGCACAAGCGGCACTAAAGGGGACATATGGGTCCAGCAGACGTGCTTCATTAATCCTCTCATCACATTTGAGGATGTTAAACAATAAAAAAAAGAGCCTCGAATGCCTCTTTTTGGCAGGGATCATTATAAGGCAGGGCTTTGCCCAAACATTAGTGCTTCACTGTGGCCAGGGATTTCCAGCTTACCCCACCGGCGGTGAAGGGAACTGGAGGGGCATCTCGATCCAGCTCCAGTGGCGATGGTTACTGAAAACCACAAGACTTCACTCCTCTTTTAACTTTGCATTGGAATTAGAAAATAAAAGCCACAGGGTTTTAAAAGAAATAACATAAATAAATAAAAGAAGCTAGATTCAAGATTTATCTTGGCATACAAAGATATACATTTAATACTAAAGACAGATATAAATAAACCCAGGCTTTAGTTTTAATTAAACCTTTGAATGATTATTAATTATTCCTTTGTGATTTGTAAAAAAAACGGTTCTCATTACTAAATAAGATCTGTTTTTTGCACTACTCAGCTGAAATATGCAGCACACTGATCATATTAAGCAGAAATAACATAGTATGTTAAGTTTCTGTAGGGGAGGGGCCATTTTTAAAGAAACAAAATTAGCATAGTTCCCAGAATTAATTGTTGGAGAGATAAAATACTTCAGAAACTCTCCTATTTGTATAACAAAGAGCCCATTCATGGTGGAAACATCCTCTGTGTAAAATAAAGTATACAAACCCATTAATCTCATCAATGAAAACTCAACACATACAGAATTAAAGGATTATGGAAACACCTTACAAAGAAAATATTAGTGAAATGTCCAGCTGAAAGACTTTTGAGAAGTGCCAGCATTTGCGCTGGTTGTCTCCACCATATGTGTGGAGTTACAGATGTGAGCCAGAATATTAATAATGCTGTGATATGGTCATTCAGGAAAGTACAGCACTGTAAAAACACATATGTTGTTACACTCACACACACATATAAAGCAGAAGGCAGATTACAGGTTTAAGGAAAATCCAGCATATGTAAAAAAAAAGTGCCATTAGAGAATTAGTACTTTACATAAAGTTAATGTTTCTTTTTTATTTTATTTCAAAAAATCTATTTAGCATCAGGACTTTACAACCCTGGATTATGTTGACAGTGGACAATAAGCCAACAAAGCAGTCCTGCCCTTATGAGAACAGACCATTAGCAGGAAAAAAAATTATAAATCTACTTATAAGAGGAAAACAGAGATTATGTAATAACAGATTACATGCATTTAATGGCTAGATTTACATCCATGAGCTGAGGTTAAAAGCCCTTAGAGCAAACAGACTGAGGGAGGATGCTCCTGTATAGACCTCAGTGAGGAGGCAGTGTGAAGCTAAAATGAGATCAAAAACACACCTTCAGCCATGGGGGAGTTTGTGAATTTCTCCAGTAAAGTTAGAGACAGACTGGATGATCTGCCTGTTTTGTTTGAGTCAAGAGTAATATGTTTTCTAACTTAAACTCTAAGGTCAGGGGAGTTCAGCATACTTATCTTTTATTTCCAACTCAGACACTGGACCACAGCATGAATTGAGCTTGTTGCTGATGGTTGGCGTCACACTTGTCTAGATATTCTTAACCTAAAATCACAAATGTGGCCCATGAGTGTGACACAGTGTGTCAGATGCAACACGGGAAACGAATCAATCAAAAATCCCAAATCTGAGTCTGTTTACAATGGGATCAAAGATCAAGGTACAACAGGACAGTGTCAAAATTCTTATGAAACCACATTCAGCTCCTTTTGAATTCATCTCCGGTACGGTGGCAGATAAGTGGGACCTGATCTAGAGAGGATTACATCAGGAGAGGTTTAATTAATACAGATTCCTAATTTTCCATGAGCTTCTTCCTTTGTCTCCATCTGGGCAGATGGAAAGAAAGTAAGGAAAAGAAGACTGGATGCAGAGTTTGTTGACAGATGCCTCTCTCCCCTGCCCTGCTTCCTCTCATCCCACCTGTTAAGGGCATCAATGAGGTGAACCTGTCTGGGAGGAGGTGGATGGGGAGGGGTGGACAGGAAACACTGGCACATGCAGAGATCTCTCTCCAGGCCCAAGTCCTACACCAGGCCATGTGTGTATGTGTGGTGTGCATTAGGTGTGGGCGAATGAGTTTGTGTGTGTGTGACTCTCTGTTTCCTCTCTGCTGTGATAATATAGTGTAAAGCACAAGATATGGAGCAAGTACTGATGTGTTTATTATG